TATATATATATATATATATATATATAAATAAATATTAATAGAAGAATAATTTATGAGATCTATGTGTTAGTGATGTACCAAAGGGACCATTCCTTTGATCTTCCCTAATATTTTTGGAAAGGGGTCTTGTTATTCTAAAACCGGTAAGGGACAATTAGCCCTTTTCTAAATAAAATGTTTCAAAAATAATTTTTATTTTTATTAAATTTGATGCTAGTCTATTTCTATAGTGTAGACCTTATGGTCTACACTCCATTTGCTATACGATTTTGTTTAACCTTTTTCTTTCTCTCTCTCAACGTGGCAGCCTTTCTCTCTCCCCCTTAGCGTGGCAAGCTAGACCTTTTTTCTCTCTCTTACCCTTAATATAATAAGACCCCCTCCCTTTCTAACCTTTATTACCGCGAAACTGTCTCTTACCACTATTACAGTGAAACTCTATCTCCTGACTGTTCCTTTTTGTGTTTCTCTCCCTCTCGTATGGATCAATGGAGGAAGCTAGAATGATTTACGAGGAGCTCGGGACGCTTACGACTATTTAGCACCTTGTTTTCCTAATCAAGTGTTCAGAGGATTCAATCAGTTATTTGCTGGGTTGGTTTTGGATATCATAATTTTGGCACAAGTTTATTTTTGAGAAACAGAGCCTGCACATATAACTACAGTGAAGCTAAACAGTCGAATTACTCATACTGGGTCTTCCATATGCGAAGATAGAGAATGGGTAGCCATATTAATGCTACTGCAACAGACCAGTGAAGCTTCATGAGGAGAGTTCTACAGTATAATTGTGACAAGAACCTTTGGGTCACTAACAAGGTCGTTGCATGGGTAGCAAGTTCAGTAGAAAAGAAGATCGGGGCAATGGACCCACTCATTAATGCATATGTAGAGAGAACGCAGGCTACAGCGAGGAAATGGTACACAAATATCCTTGAAGCTGGTAAGGTACAACACCCAAAGAAAACTGAAGATAGGAAGCTATACACGCCTGCGGCTATGGATGTATTTAGGATTTTTGGAGAGCAGAGTGTACGAGAGAATAGCACTGATGTCATGTTATACCGAGCATTTTATTCCCGAAAATGATCTTGATTCTGGTCAATAAAAACGTGAATTTGAGTATTTTCATTTCTCTCTCATCACATAAAGGTAAGCGAACTACTTTTAATAAAATTGTGATATCCCTTTCAACCAGCTTTATATTATTAGTTTTACGGGTAAGTGATCCCATTCTTCTCAAGAAAAGTATACTTTTAATAAAATTATGATATTTTCGTTCATCATTTTTTAGTGTAAATGATCTCATTGTCCTGTTAAATTTATTATCTTTGTCTATTGTTAGAAATTTTAGACATTGTAAATTATTAGAAATAAAACTGATTATTTGTCTATTGTTATGACTTTTAGACACCGTAAAATTTATGTGTGACGTTATTTCCAGTAAAATCATTATGTGAAAAACTGATATTTCTGTAATTAATTGTAATATTGCCAATACTGTAAGATTTACGCATTTTTGCATTTAGTTGTATTTTTGTCCATCTATGAATTTTAGACGCTATAAGTTTTACCTATACCTGTAAAATGATTAATTGCAAAATTACATTTCCATAAAATTGTGATATTTCCGTGTTTAACTTTGGATTTCTATAAAAGCTCTTCTGTTGATAATAGACTGTTTATCATGTTACATTTCAAGAATATCTATCCGAACTGCTACCTTTATGAAATTATTGTCCAAAATGTTTGACTAATTACTTTTAGGTATTTCAATGAAAGTGGTTATTATTAATTGCTTCAAGTGAATTCGCGTTAATGATTTCGATGATATTTTGAATACATGCTATTGTTGTTTTCTGATGTTAAAGAATTTCATAGATAATTTAAGTATAAATAGACCTATCCAATATTATGTGGACTCATCCAATACGCAGGTGAGGTATAAGTGAATCTGCAGGGATTAAGTGGACATATCCGATTACGTCGGTAGGGATTACGTGGACTCATCCAGTATGCTGGTGAGGTATGATTGGACCTACAGGGATTAAGTGGACCTATCCGGTTACGCCGGTAGAGAATATGTGGACTTATCCAGTACGCCGTTGAAGTTTGATTGGACCTGCAGGGATTATGCGGACCCATCCAGGATGCTAGTGGGGTATATAAGTGACCTTCTTGAAATGCTAATAGGATACTTTGTAAAATCCTTTGAGTTATGCATTTCTGTTAAATTGTTTTTATGCATGTCAATCTTTTGAATTATGCTTAATTGTGTATTCCTAAAAGTGAAATTATTCTACATAAGTGCTCTTCCTCTTATTGTTTTTAATAGACCTTCCTTTTTGAAAATATTGATATCTTCCAACTATGATTATTTTTTAGGACTATGATGATCACTTACTAAGTAGCCAAGCTCATCAATTAATGGTAAATTCTCTTCAGGATAATTGCAGCTTCAAAAGTTCGAACGCAGCATGACCATCTTTAAAGAAATTTGTAGTCATAATTGACTTTCCCTTCTAACTTTTGATCGAATGCACCATTGTAATTTTTGTTCTGTCAAGAGATGTATATACCTAGCTTTCATGCATAACATTAATTGTGAATAGACTTTGCACAAATTAAAAGAAATGGAAAAATCTGTTTTGATGCCATATGTAAGTAAGAATTTGAATATGTTCTATATATATATAGTATGTCGCACCTCAAGAATGTTAGTGAACTTAGAGTGTGACACATACACTACCATTGAAGTGTATAATCCATTATAAATGTCTTTTACATGCTCTCACAGCCTTTAAATGCCACAAACCCTAACAAAGAAAAGGTCAAGTAGCCCTAACTAAGTATTATACTAGAGCTTTTTGATTGAACAAAGAAAATAAAATTATTTTATTTATTAATAATATAGTTTTAAGAAATAAGGCATCTATTACAAACTCTCTAAATTTAGGAATGATGAAAACTAGAGTTTGTCAACACCTACAGAGTTTTTAGATACCCACCATATATTTATTATTTATAAAGTTTGAATAATAGAAGTTTTTAAATAATGTTTAAAATTTCCAAGCATTCCATAATTTTTGCTATCATTTTGATGTTGTGGATCTAGATCCCAAATATCTCTAATCACCATTCCGAAAAATCAAAAGCAAGGTCTCACATTGGTAGAATCACAATCTTGTGCACCAATGAATTGCAAATTTTGGAGAGGTAAAATCTAGATTACAAAGACATCGGAACAAGATTAAAAAAATGTGCAATCATAGTTCCTAACTTCCAGGAATTGGGATTTGTGGCGATTCTTTCATGGAAAACGTAGAATTGTGATTCCGAACCGAAATCACTACCTAAGGTGGACGATTCAGGTAACTATAACTGAAACTAGCCTTAACAATGTCAGGTTCAAATTTTCAAAAGTGAACTGAGTAAGTTTCTAAAGCGTATATTTTTTACAATAGCAACAAACACATCTTGCAAGTTACACAATATTTTGAACTTTGGTAATAAACTAGACTTAGAGACCAACCACTGATCCAATTATCACTAAAATATGGAGCTTCTATGTCCTCTTAAGTGATCCTTATTGATGGTGTTATGTGATCTGCAGTTTCTTATGGCAGTCAAAATTGACTGCCAGTCTGAAAGGATAATATGGCATGAACAGCACCAGACAATCCCCAGCTATCCCTCGAGACACACATTCATACAGATGGAGGTTCAAGGCATAGCCTATGAAGACTTAAGGTTGATATTCTCCCTCTAACCAATTATGACCGAGTATGGTAAACTGAGGTTTCTAAGAGCAGCACCAAAGAAACAACCTTCCTTGATATGAAGTCCAAAAGTAATCAGAGTTGGTTCACCAAAACACACTACTTATATTTCTAGGAGGTCCCTATCCACCATTGTATCATGCATAAAGACATGGCCTTTCACATCTCATCCCAAATAAGTGTCTAGACATGCGTCCTCCCATGTTCCAACTAGGAAACACATGTTATCCCATGTCTCAACCAAGAGATATTTAACCTCCCATGTCTTAACCAAGAGACAGGTGCCCCATCTTTCAGATCCATTCATTAACTCAAGCAAAAAGGTGTGGACTCATTTACCAAAGGCTTGCGATTATCTTGAGTTCAGCCCTCATGAGGGCTTATCCAATTCCTCTGTTTGGCTTAAAAGTCAGACCATCCAAGAAACGAAAACTCACAAGACATTGATAGCTTGATAGTAGTTTTATTGGCAATCAAGCTCATGGCAATTCTGTGAGTACCAAAAATGGCAACTTAATCAATTGGTGAAAAACCCATCGTGGCACTCGCTTAGGCTTTGGGCGGTCTGGACCACCCCGGCCGCCTAGGCACCGTCCGGTGTTTTGTGGAACACTGCAATCAATATGCTATAGATGGAGCAGGCATGATCAAAACCTACATAGGAAACAGTTAACGTGATACGCTCATAGAGTTACATGTGGCTCAGGTGCTGTTCTCAATACAATTATCTTCAATATTCAAAGTTTGCACAATCAGATAGCTCATAGCAACTCAACTGCACTGGATGCTGCTGGATGCATTTCAAGATCATTCCATCAAATGATTTATGGAAGAAATTCTTGATTTCTCATACGAAGCAAAGTTTAGGCAATACATCCAGAATTTGTCATAACCATCATGATCCATTGTTGATTCAATGGCATGGAATTTAATATTTTCTACCTCGCCGTCGGTGAGATGAGAATACAAGGAAATTCAAATTTTGAGTAGGTAATAGGAATGACACTTATAGCTGCCATGCTATGCCAGGGCATCCACCCAATCCCCCAGATTATGCATTTCATTATCTTCACGTTATACATACTTTCTAGCAGGTTACCTATTGGTTATACTTTCTAGCAGGTTACCTATTGCTATAATGTATCCTAATTTTATTTCCTTAAACCAAGTGTTTTAAAGAAACGGACATGAACCACAGCCTGCCAAACCATCAAAGAATTATTTTGTTCAGAAGAAAATGTGATCTTTCAAAAACTTGACGGAAACCGACGAGTATGACCCAATATCAACCAATCCATTACATCCATCACTCTTCTCTACAATGAAAATAACAAATCGCCAAATAATATACAGACAAATAATCAAGCACGAGATTTCCTCTTGTTCTTGCTAGTCACAAGCTTCTTAGAGGACGCCTCAGTGGCTTTATCACAATGCAAATGCACAGGTAACAAGGCCTTCTGAGACGATAATTCTCCAATGAAAAGTACAGTTTGTGCCCAACCTGCATACTTCCCAAATTTCATCACAAAGGCCTCAGCCACATGACGAGACAATTTGGGCGTCAATGTTGCACCTTCCAACTCAGGACTTATGTACCTTTTTGCTATCTTCACCCAATATTCCAAACAGTGGGGGAAAATAAAAAGAAAGGAAGAAAAAAAGGTCAGATAGTCTCCAAATGTGTCAAGCCTTCCTGATTATTTTATTTTTCCATCTCATGATTTCATTGAGTGCAACATATGTACCTACCTGCCAGACATGGGTATCAACAGGAATGGCGTGGTGTTGATCGAGAGAAAATAGGGCAACACAGGCTGCCACCTTTGGCCCAACTCCTGGCAAGCCCAATAGTGCATCGGTTACCTCTTGGAGCTCCAAAGTGCGGAGGGACAGCAACCACTCTGCACCTCCTCCAGGTTTCGATTGTAGGACTGCAACTGCATCCACTATATACTTGGCCCTGCTCTTTCATTGGTAACCCACAATGCAAAAAACACAGTATAATTTAGAGAGACTTCAATAGCAAGAGGAGCAAGAACAAACTAGAAAACAGTAAACAACAATGCAGTAGGCAGGGGAATGCATATTGTTTTCTTTTTCTTTAATTTAATGAGGGACAACTGAAAATGGACAATAGGGTGCATCCCTAGCATAAGACAAATATGATCGCCCATTATTTAATCCTTTTGAAGGTCATGTAAAAAAAGCATCATCATGTTTCACATGAGATGAGTATTTGGTAGACAAGATTATGTATCTAAACTTGCTTGTGAGCTCCAACATTTTGAAACTTGCACTTCCTGATGCTAAAATTAACATTACTTCCTTTCAACTCAAGCTATCAACTGGAAATGAATGGACAGCAGAAAAAGATACTAAATATAATGAACTACAGGCCAAAACCCTGAAATGCCCTAATGCTGGCTCGCATATGTCCCCTTGCATGTGTTGGCATATAGGAACCTTTGCAGCACGTCACATACAATTTATTGCTACCGAAAGAGTCGTAAGAATCCAATAATCTGATTGTATCACAAAACTCTAGCCATCAACTGGAAATGAATGGACAGCAGAAAGATGCCAAATAAAATGAACTGCAGGCCAAAACCCTGAAAAGACCTAATGCTGGCCTGCATATGTACCCTTGCATGTGTCAGCATATGGGATCCTTTGCAGCACGTCACATACAATTTATTGCTACTGAAGGTAGATACTTGAGAGTTTCTCAGAGTCGTAAGAATCCAATTGTATCACAAAACATTCCCAAACATTTTACTTCTCATACGGACTCAGCTTTCAGGAGGTTTAAGCCAGGAGGTGTACAAGGAGAAAATGGCTAATCTCTGACTACAGAAGACTAGGCTGCAAATGCCAAATCAGAAGGGTGTTTGAGCATTCCCAAGTCAGATGAAATTCACAAACGTTACATAATTTATGGCCTAGCTACCAAAAAACAAAACAAGGAGGACTATACTGAGTTTGAATTCAATAAGCAAACAAAGGACAACAGGAAAGAAGTGTAAATTTCTTTCCATACACTTCGCACCAACAACAATAATATGCCAATCAAAATTTGCAGGAAAATCCAATCGCATAGAAACATATCAAAGTCAAAGGACACACAACATAGCAACATCCCAAGAAATTGATTCTTCTTCTCATATCTTGAAAGATAGACACCATTCATATTTTTGGTTGATTGCCGCTCTGATTGCACAAGAGAGGCAATAGCATGCGATTCAAACCTCCAATTCCAAAATACTTTTCAAAGTTCAAACAGTGTTTCCTGTGATCAATAGTTGACTAGGTAGATGCCCAAAAGAGACATTTCGGAACTCAAACAAGCCAGTAATTCCTATATTTGTAAATACAGAGGACAGCCCATATTTGAAAATATAACTATTATCATCTTGGATTCATGACATTCATACCCGAAGTTTTTGCAATACAGTAAAATCTCGGTTTGGAAAGGAACGATCATGCCACAAAGAATTCACATAACAGCCAAAGAAGTGGCATTTAAAGGCTACATTCTTAGGTACATCAAATCACCCTCTCTCTTTTTGACTTTCAATCTAAAAGCATCTTAATGGAAAAAAATGATAAAAGGAATCTCCAAAAAGGTCACTAAAAAATCAACATCATCACCCTGGTGAAAATCAGATGCCAAACACCAACAAGCATTTAATATTTTAGCAATTGCATTCCCATTTAAGTGTGGCCAAATTAATCATCTAACTATAATGTACTTTTATGTCATGAAGAATATCTCACATGCTCAGAGAATGGAGGAGTTCCACCCAATGATTATTTTCATTTTTGATAAAGTCTCACTTCATATAAAGGATTTTACAAGCATCAAATATGTTTTTTTTAAATTGGTCAAAGTATATTATTAAGTGTTAATAGGTAAAGTACTCACAAGAAGTGAGTGGAAGGCGACCCACAAGCTGGGTGCCATTATACAAAATAGGTATCCGTGTGAACAAAAAAGAGTGGTTGGTCCATAGTTGCAGGAACCTGGGGGTTAAGGCCATCGTCCCATCTTAGGAACTTGATCCTGCAGTTCCACTAAGGGATCTTAGAGGGAGCTGGCTTTAGAGAAATAGGGATCTCGCTTCCTATAAAATAAGATCTCAGTCTACATGCTTGTAGGATCCCTCCAAGGAGAAGAAATATACTATTACTTGCACTATTGTTCCTCTCCTTAGTATTATAGATTTATTTCTTTACAAAATGTTATATTGTGGTGCATCTCACATCGTGGTTTACTAGAATTATGGAATTAAAAAATGATAATTTACTATCATAGTAGCCAATTTATGATATAATCAAACTATATTACTATGGTAAATTGGAGTAATGTAACTATGGCACTGGTAATAAGCTAAGGTGTATGATAATGGATCGAAAAAGGATTGGCTCATTCCCAATTTTATCATATACTATTAATTGATCTCGCTACACGAAGAATTGAGCTTAGATCCCTCTAAGTCAAAACTTCAATCCATTAACATGGGATCTCACTCCCATGGACCCTAGGATTTAACTCCTTAACTTGATGAATGCAAGGACATCAATCCTAACCCCAGAAAGCCTATGAGGGTTTAGTGTTCCCCAAACTGGTCCTGCTCCCGAACCCGCTTCCACCTCCAACAACTAGGGTTTGGTCATCCGCATGTTAGGAACTCAACTACTTGTACACGAGAGACAGTGGGTGTAGAGAGGGATGGAGAGAGACAATGTGAGGGGAATTAGGGTGAAATAGGTAAGAGGAATCAGTGTGTGAGGAAATAAAAGTCATAAAGAGAGACACACGAGGGAAAAAGAAGGTGATTGGCTGACTATCGATCCAGTGCTCAAACACTCTTGCTACTATTGGTTGGTAGCGTAAAAGTAGAGGAGAAAACATGAGAAAAGGCAAAAAAAGATCGCAGGTCAAGATGAAAGAAAAGATGGAGGAGATTTGAAGCACCAAAGAAATGGAGTAGGGAAGGCAGACCATTTGCTATGGCACCAAAGAGAGGGAGTAGGGAAGGCAGACCATTTGCTATGGAGGTCTCTACAGAAAGTATACGATAAACTGAATGTGAAAAAGAAAGGTTTTGGAGGGGTTGGGATGGGGGCGTTGGATGGGGCGCTCACCTAAGGAGTGCATGTCTCGAAAACAAGTGGAGGCCACCAACAAACTGGGTTGCTAAACCACTTGGGGTTAGGAAGAGAAACAAAGGTGGCCCATAGACCAGTACAAGCCTAGAAAGCCAAAGAAGACCAGAAAAAAACAAAAGATGAAGGGGGATCCTACAAACCAGATGGGCGCCCAAGAGGGAAAGGAAGGCACCTAAGCGGGCCTTTTTTCGATTTCTAAAAGCGCCCAAAAGGGAAAAAGAGGTAATTTGACCCCAAAAAGGTTTAAATCGGTTATGAGGGTTATTTTCAACCCCCAAAGTTTAAAGAGTACTTCCATAAGCCTTCAATATCTTAGCTATACCTATTTTTTATATTCAAAAGTATTTCTTGTGGTTTGAAGCATCCCAAACTTTTATTTTCTCATTGGAAGTAGTTTCTAATATGGAGACTTGGAGACTATTAATATACATAGCCTATTAGACTTTTAAATATTTTTAAATTTTGTATGGTTTGAAATTTGAAATTTGAAATTTTAAAAAAGTTTATTCTCAACATGCAATACGTCATATGTTTGTATATAAAACAGTATGTTACAATATTTTCAAATACAATAAATTACAAAATTGACACAAATATATGCATATATGTGCATTTGGAGCACACATACATGCATATATCTAAAGAATTTGTACCATAGGACGCCTGAGTGGGCACTAGGCCAGCCACCTAGCATTTTTTGAAACCTTGATGGAGCTAAAGGAGACATCGAGGAAACAGTTTGGGTCATGAATTTAAACTATGATGGCCCTGCAAGTGACATCAATGTCGTTTTTGTGGCCTTAAAATGCCTTGAGACTTGGTTTTTAGTAAAAGTTCTTTTTTGTTATTTCCATGTGTATGTACCCATGCTTTAGGAAATTCTCTGTTTGATCCAAAGTGTTGGACTCACATAGATGAAACAGGCCATATGAGCTATAGTTTACCACAATAGATGAGCTCTACTGGGATGAAACAAGCCATTAGAACAGATCTGAGTAGGCTTTACTTGGAATAAATACGCCATTAGAGCTAGTTGCAGTTGAGCCTATCCGGGGCACAGCGGCTCCATCACTTTCGCCTTGGTGTGCAATTGGGTATTAGCTAGATGAGTGGACCTACACCCTAGGCAGGATAAGCTTAGTCCTTATGATCCTTATCGCCCGAAGAGGACTCACAGGTTCCCTGTCAAGGTCAGCCCATCTTAGTGGCGGATGTTTCTAAACAAATGATGAAACAAACACCTGGTGTTAGATGGTGGCTTGTGAGATGAGAACCTGAAGCCTCGACAAGACATCATATACAATTGGTCAGCTAGTTACTTTTCGTTTGGTTCGATGTTGGATCAATGGCATACATGTGCTTGAGAAAGGACTCCGCATGCAATAAAGGACGAACACTCTTGGTCTGTAATTGCTCTGCAGGACCTACAACTTGTCCTAGGGTTGGTTCATGCCTGGAATCTATGTCCGCACTCTGGCACTTCTATCACTTGGCTCGCTTTGATAGGCCAATTGTGAGCCCCTTGCATGATAGACATGTGGGTCTCGAGCTTGTTGGGTTGGTTTGAGGTCTTAGATGGGTCATAGTAGTTGAGGAATGCCGAGTAAAGAACTTGATTCCATCGCTAGCTTTCTCTTCAAAGGATTTTTTAAGAGGCTTTTCAAAGGTCTTCTTAAGAAAATAAAAATAGTTTTATTTCTCCATTTAACCACCTAAATCTAGTATATTTTAATAAATTTCTTTTTTTGGTATTTTAATGTTGTTAAAGAATATAAGTCATTTAGGATATTTATAGGCCCAAATGGTGGCCCATTAAGGGACATGCATAGTGTCCATCCAACAAGATTTAGTAGTCTAGATCTAATCAGACTCCATCTAGAGTTAGAAGAGAATTGAAACTAAGAATCCTAAGGATAATGGTGTGCAAGATCTGTTGGGAGAGTCTATCCCATGTAGGAGGACCTCCTTGGAACTTGCTATTAGTGGGGGGCATCCATTTAGCATAGAAGTGTTTGACTTTTTGAACAAATCATGGGAGGTAGTTGGTTACGTAAAGATAACCTCATGTGAGAGAATGTAGGCTTCTTCAAAAGAGATATCCTCATGTGAGCCCCACATAAGATGAGATAAGATTAAATAAAGCGGTCAAAGATTCCACCCTTATCTATCTTAGAGAGAGAACAAATTATAAAAGGGCCTCACAAGGGGGGTTGTTGCTCTCTTGGTGAGTTTAACAAAAAGCCTCTTTTTATTGGTTGCAACCTCTCCATTATAGAAAGAAGAAATACACGGATCTTTCTTTTGCAGAATCTTTCTTTTGCAGAGAAGAAGAAGAAGAGAAAGAAGCCTGTTAGAGCGAGAGCCTTTTCTTTTTGAGAGAGAGAAAGCCTCCAGAAAAGAAAAGAAGCCTTTGAGAGAGAGAACCTTAGAGAGAAAAAACCCTTTAGAAGAAATCAAAGAGCCCAAGAAAGCATGTTTTTTGAAAGAACATTGTAACCGTTATTTTAATGGTGGATCTGTCTCTTTCTCCTGTGGACGTAGCCTAAAAGGTGAACTACGTAAATCTCAGTGTAAGTAAATTATTCGCTTTATTGCACGATTTTCACTCATACAAACGCACATCGGTTTAGTATATCTTGTATCCCATAAATATGGGTTCCACCCGTGCGAGAGGGCTTGAACGGGTGAGCCCAACAAAATCCACCCTCAATCCATGATAGCTGGCGAAGGAATGGATGCCATCATTGTCGATAAGTTAGAAGCCAAATTATTCTTTTTTTTTTTCTTTTTGTTTTTCTTTACCCATATTGACCTCTATATAAATGGAGGTGGAAAACAGACAGACTGAATGGAATGGTATGTGAGATTGAATCAGTTTCATTGTAGATAAGCAGGTAGCCTGAGGCTGTTACAATTCATTTCTAGAAATTATGGGCAAATAAAAATGAAGAAACTTGACTCACGGAACTCCTAAAAGAGTCAAACCTTCCAATGGTTTCGATGCAAGGATCCCACTAATCCATCACTGAAAGATGAAATACAAACAAATCACAAAGGCCATTGACATTTAAAGATATTTTTCATAGTAGCAAAGGGCATTCCTATGTAGGTAAAAGGAAGTCATTTCCCCATGAAACCAAGAAACTGAAACTAATTTCTCAGACTAGTAAAAATTGACTAAGAACCCAACTGCATTACCTTGTGCATCCATTCAGCATTTCAATAAAAGGGGCACCATAAACGAATCAACTATACGACAATCATAAACAGGAGAATGACCTAATATACATTAAAAAAAAAAATGAAAAGAGAGAGACAGAGAGAGAGAGAGAGCCCACCTGTAACCAAACCCAGCCTTGCGCAGCTCCTCCTCCGAAACCTGCGACAGCCGCTCCAGTGAAGGAAATGCATGGAATTTAAACCCACCAACAGAGGCCAAGTAAGGGCCAAGTGAAGACAGATATGATACCATCTGTGTAATCCTCGGTATGTTGTTATTGGACGAACAAAGAAACTGGAAAAGGCACTCCAATGGGTCCTGTCTCAGCACCCGAGCCCCAGACATATGGGGAGCGAGCTCCGCAAATCTGGAATCCGCCTCTGAAAACTCAGCCCAAAGCTCTCCCAGAGAAACCTGAAGGTTCATAAAGTCTTTGAGAGAATCCATTGCAAAGGCCTCATCCTTCGAAAGAGAGGGAGAAGAGAAACAAGTGCGGTGGAGGAGATAGGAGATGGAGCCATCTTGGAGCTGGCGAAGAGAGAGAAGGTGTGAATTGAGGACACCTGTGAATTGTGTTGAGGCCGTTTGCTTCCATGTGAAGGTCTGACCCGTAGGGAAGGTTAGAGGCAGAGAGAGCTCCGAGATGCCCATGTTGAGGAGGGGCTTCCATTCTCCATCGGGTGAAGAGACAGTGGGTTTGAGAAAGAGAAGGGGTCTTCTGGTTTTAGAGGACGAAGGCAGAGAGGAGGATGATTTCGAGAGTTTTTGGATGGGAGGGATTGGGGTTTGCCGCCTCCTCAACATCGCTATCTCTCTACGACACCTCGCAAGCAAGTCCAGGTGGAAGAGCAATGAATGTCTCAGGGCAGCATGAGAGAAGAGATATGAATATCCGAAAATTTTTAAATTTGTTGTATCTTAAAGATATGAAAATACCTTTAATGCCTCTTCTCTAAAACCAGGTCCCGTCTTCTCCAAAAACAATGTCCTCTCTCTCTCTGAGAGCTCGAGCCATCTCCTCTCACCATATTCTTCTCCCATTCCTCTACTTGTTTCCTCACTGGGGTTTGAAATGATTCGATCTGGAAAATCCTTGAAGCTGTTTAATATCTATCTTTATCTTCCTCTAAAGTTGGATTGATTTTAGGGCAAAATTTGTTGTATTGGATGTTGAAATCTCATTCAGGCATTTAGAAACAAGAGAAGTGCCCTTAAATCTTACCTTGCATTTCAAGTTCTAGTATCTTGGAACCTAAATCTGTATTTTTTATACGTATATAGGAGTTGTAAAAATTTGATGAATTAGCTGATTCTTCAGAAATTTGGGATTCATTTTCATTATATTGTGTTTTAGTGATGATGAGCAAGAGAAAATCTGTTTAAATGAAAGTTTCTTCAGATGTTTTTTTTACTAGCATGCGAGAAAGATCTAATACTCGAAATAATTCCAAAGAGAGAAGAAATAGTCACTCTAGAGGGTTTTGGGGTGTAGAAACTAGAAGGTGTTCTCTCTATGAAGTATCATAATCCCTACACGGAATTTAATGAAACAATGTACGGGTAACTCTCCATCAAGCACTTTAATAATAATCCCTATGGAAAAGGCACATGTAAAATCCTAACATCAAGCTATGTAAAACCTAATTTTAGATAATTTCCTTCAAAAATTTTAATTTGTAAGCAAATGCAATTTTATGAGAAAAACCAAAATTGGGGAAATTAGATTAATAAAAAATTCAAGAATTTCAAAGGAAAACCGTAAAAAATTTATAGATAAATCAAATAATTCTAAAGGAAACCTAAAATGCTCCAAATTAGGTTAATTGTATTTAAAGATTGATAAATAGAGAGATATGAAGTTTCATGATGTTAATCCTCTTTACACATGTTATTTTTCATCATGAACTCTGGTAAGCTTTTGCCCTTACCTTGATTTTCTACTTTTTCAATATGAATTTATTTAATCCTTTTGTAAGGAACGAGATTTTTTCAGCCTGAGGAAATGCGCGGCAGTAAGAAGACAGCCGTGCACAGCAGTGAGAGACAAAAGAAGAAGAGAGCGCGCGGCAGAGAGTGTCGCCATGCGCGGCAGTGAGAGACAGAAGAAGAAGAAGAGAGCGTGCGGCAGAGAGTGCCGTCGTGCGTGACAGTGAGAGATAGAAGAATAATAGAGCGCGTGGCAGAAAGTGCCACCGTGCACGAGTGCCGCCATGTGCGGCAATGAGAGACAGAAGAAGAAGAGAGCGCACGACAAAGAGTGCCATCGTGCGTGGCAGTGAGAGCCAGAAGAAGAAGAGAGCGCGCGACAGAGAGTGTCGTCGTACGCGGTAGTGAGAGACAAAAGAATAAGACGAGAACACATGGCAGAGAGTGCCGTAGTGTGTGGCAGTAAGAGACAGAAGAAGAAGAGAGGGTGGCAAAGAGTGCCATCTTGCATGCCATAAGAGAGAGGTTACCATCGTGTGTGTTTCTGCTATGAGAGTATGAGTGTCATGCGAAGCATGTAAGCCACTTGTATACCCTTGTCATCCACTTGGATGTCACATGGATGCCACTTGTAGCCCCTTGGTTGCTATGTTGCCACCCCCTTTGGTTTATAAATACTACCCCTCTCACCCCAAAGGACTTTTGCTCTCTCTCTCACTCTTGAACCCCCTTTTCAAACACTTAGAATCTCAACCTCTTAGAGTCATTTTGGGAGCTTGGAAACTTGATCTGAGTGGGAGAAATAGAAGTGCATTTTGGTGCATGTAAGTAGATCTAACATTCATGTCTCTATAGTTTTAGTTATAAGCATGATTTTTTAATAAAGATGTGGCTGCATGTTATGGAATTTATGTTAGAATATGCATGTTTTTCCAGTACTGTGATTCTTATAGGCATGAAAAATCGAGCATTGAAATCATTTCTGTTGGCTATGAAAAATTATGGGAAGTACCCATGTGCCTCTATTTTAATATGGAAAAGACCTTGTATCCTGGTCTAAAGTATGCTAAAATTGTAAACTACATTTTCAATAACTTTGTATATTTTAAATTAAAACTGTTTACTGAACAAATAGTGTCCAAATGATCTCAAACTACATTTAAATAAAATATGGGTATGTCTACTTCAAATTTTGTTTTGGAACCATGTTGAAAGTATTTATGGTTTGGGAATTATGCCTCTATTTGTATGAAGATGTCACGGTTGTAAGTTGTAGTAAATTTCTAAAACCATTGTATGTCTTGTACTGAATTGTTTACAAATAAAATGGTGTCCAAATGATCTCAAACCACTTTTAAATTAAATATGGGTATGTTTTTGTATCCAATATGGCCTTACAAAAATATCCTTAAGTTTTTTTGATAATGTATTAGAGTAGATAACCACAAAGGCTAAAAGGAAAAGAAATAATTGGCAAAGCTCACACATGTGGAGATATTCTACTTTATCAAAGTCAATCACTTTGTAGATCTAAAATTTCAAACCAATCAATTTAAAGATCATGTCCCCTTTACACATATGTGTGAAGATATTTTTCAACTCAAATTTGAAAATACATTTTCTCTTTAATATCAAATAAATTAATTAATTAAACTTCACACATGTCATACATAACCCATGTGCGAGTTAATTAAGACATGTGATAAAAAAATGGCCTTAATTTATAATATTTTATAACAAAATATAATAAAATATAACAAGATACCATAACTGAACCCTTACAAAACAAGCAACCAAATGTCAACTTAGTCCCCTGCCTAGGGATCAGTGCCCAGTTGGGCAGTGATCCTAAAGTGAGGCGTGGGATGCCACGTGGCAGCCCTATGGCCACTCGGACGTCACATGACACTACTAGGTCAGGACTAAAGTGGAATTTGAGTCAAACAATATGAAAACCCTCATTTGTTTAGCAAATAAAAGTCCAAACAATTCTCTAAATTCACAATAAATATTTAAAGTATTTTTAAGCAATTATTAGGTTTTTCTTATAATTATAAAATTTGACAAAATGTATAGTGAGATCTTAGGCTAATAACTATAAGTATCAGAGTACTTCATTGGGCTAGTCCCGAATGATGTTCCTCCGAGTCTCAGATCAACCCAATAGACCTATGTTCCATAGTCTAAAGCAGAGATACATAATTGGTCATATCAAAGCCACTACGCTAGAATTTATAACATTACATAACAATATATAGCAAGACACCATAATACAACCCCTGATAAAATAAGCAACCAAATACCAATCTAGTCCCCCACCTAGGGATCAGCTTCCAGTTGGCCAGTGATCCTAGAGTGAGGCATGGGATGCCACATGGCAGCCTTGTGGCCACTCGGATGCCACATGGCACTACCAGGTCATGACTAAAGTGGAATTTGAGTCAAACGATATGAAAACCCTCATTTGTTTAGCAAATAAAATTCCAAAAAAATATCTAAAATTCACAATAAATATTTTAAACTATTTTTAGGTTGATCTTATCATTTTAAAATCAGAAAAAATGTATAATGTGATCTTAGGCTAATAACTATAGGTATCGGTGTAATCCATTGGGCTAGTCCCGAATGATGTTCCGTCGAGTCTCAGATCGACCCAATAGACCTATATTACACAGTCTAAAGAAGAGATACATAATTGGTCATATCAAAACCGCTGAGCCAGAACTTCTGATCATTCGGCTCTCAATGAATTATGGGTGTACCCCTGTGGGACATGATCTAACTCAATTACAGGGTTCCTCTCAAAGCACATGTGCACTGGCTCTTCCAAACTCGAATAATGAATTTGGAAGAGTGGCTTTTTGTACAAAATGAAAATGCACATGCCATGCAATGGTCTCGTGTGAGGATATGAACTTATGTCCCATAAGTCTTGACCATTCCATATAGGGCAAATACTCAATAAGTACTCAGGTTCTAACTTTCTCGTTTGGATTCTCCAAGTTCTGGTCGATTGCAGCTAAACATGAGGCTAACCTATAAAATCATGACTAGGAGGTGACCCTCATACCTCCTTGAGCAATTGCTTTCTTAACACGTGAACTCTCGATACCTCATGCGTACTTGGGGTAAAAGAATCTAGGCTTCATTTTGTAAGACACCAAGATTTCAATCTGTCAATTGCTCCCACTGAATGAGAGACTACTGGAATTTAGGCATTGATAGACCATATTTTTAACATTCTCTCACTTGCCCTTTTGAGGCCTAAATTCGTATATCTCTATCTCTCATTATCGTTCACAATAACTCAAAGCATGCATACTCATCCATGGATTTATCATTCACAAGCAATAGACAAAGTAATAACAACTATGTCAACCTCCTTAAACCCATCCCATGCACATGCCTCACAAAATCATTTGCTCCTAAGCCTTTGGTTAATGGATCAACATGCATAGCCTCGGATGGAATATATCCAACTTATACTTCACCAGGTGCTATCTCTTCTCTTACTTTATGACAGTGAGCTTTAATGTGCCTTGACTTGCTGTGGAACCTTGGTTCAATTGCCACTGCTATTGCAGCTTGATTGTCACACATGATTCTAATAGTTCCATGTTTTAGAGGGTTGAAGTTAAGTGATTCAAGAAATTCTTAATCCAAATGGCTTCTAAAGTTGTGGAACTTAAAGCCATATACTCGGCTTTCATGGTAGATAAAGCTACAGTGTCTTGCTTCTTGGTGCACCAAGAAATGGCACCACCGCCATAAAGAAATAGATAACCTGAAGTAGATCTCAAGTCATCTGAGTCTCCTTGATAGTCGGAGTCTGTGTATCCCAATATTTTAAGCTCACTCGAATTGCCATAGGTTAATCCATAATCAAATATTCCTTTCAAATACCTCATAATTCTTTTCACGGCTTTCCAATGTTTTAATCCATGATCACTTTGGAATCGACCAATCAAGCTTTAAGCAAAAGCTAGATCGAATCTAGTTCCCATGGTTAAATACATTAGTGATCCTACGGCACTCCGATACGAGATCCTTTCCATCTCATTTCTCTCAAGCTCATCGTTTGGTTTCATATTGACATTTAATTTTCCTCTCCTTTCCATAAGTGCATCTATAGGCTTAGATTCACTCATACCAAATCTCTCAAGAACTTTCTTGCAATATGTAAATTGAGATAATTGAAATAGTGTGGGTCCCTAATACATATGAAGCCTCTCTCATATCTTTTATATCAAAATTACTTGATAGCATTGCCTTTGTGTCCCTTATATGGTCTAAGGTGCTACTAGATATTAGAATGTCATCCACATATAAAGTCATGAAAGTAATGTCAGTCCCACTGGTCTTATGGTATACACAATAGTTATCCTCATTTGGTTTGAATCCATATCTAATCAGGGTTTGGTGGAACTTGAGGAACCATCTTATTGAAGCTTGTTTAAGACCATAAAGTGATTTGCTAAGTTTGTACACGAACTTTTCCTTTTCTTTCACAACAAAACCCTCGAGTTGGTTCATGTATATATCCTCTTCTAGGTCACCATTTAATAAGGCAGTCTTCACATCCATTTGATGCAATTCTAGGTCAAGGTAGGCTGTTATGGATATGATCATCCTAATTGAAGGCATTTTGGCAACAAGTGAATAGGTGTCAAAATAATCTACCCTTTCATTTTGAATAAAACATTTTGCTACAAGTCTTGCCTTGTATGTTTCAATACACCCTTCAGAGTTAAGTTTCTTTTTGAATATCCACTTACATCCAATGGATCTAAGGTTAGGTGGTAATCGGACTAACTCCCATACACGGTTCTTTGTGATTGAATTTATCTTATCTTGCATAGCTTCCTTCCATAACTTATGATCCGGACAAGACATAACATGTAGGTAAGAATAAGATTCATCATCGGGTTCTTCACTAATCCTCTCATTGTCCTCCCCAAGGTAAGTGAAAAAGGTAGGTGGTCCCTTATTCTCTCACTTTGCCTAAGTGGGATGGTTTCAATTTCTTTGTTAGGTTGAAGCTCATGGAAGTCTACTCTCTTTTAGGTTGATTCTCTCTCAAGGAATTCATCTTCAAGGAAATGAGCATCAAGGCTTTCAATCACATTAGATTCAAGAGGTTATAAAACCTAAATCCCTTCACATGACTTGGGCATCCTATGAAAACATATTTCGTGGTTTTAGGATCAAGTTTGGATCTATTTTGGGATGGTATGATAACATGCGTTGAACATCTCCAAACCTTGAGGTGCTTTATTGAAGGAGGTCGGCCCATAAAGAGTTGGTAAGGGTTGATTGAATTGCTTTGGTGGGAGTCCGATTAAGGATATATGTGGCGGTTAAAATCGCCTCCCCCCAAAACTTTAATCTAAGATTAACGATACTCATCATACTTCGTACCATCTCAACTAAGTCCTATTCCTTCTCTCGGCAACCCTATTTTGTTCAGGTGAGTAAGGCATGGTGGTTTGGTGGATAATTCCATATTAGACATAAAGATCTTGGAAAGCTTGGGAGGTGTATTCCCCACCCCTATCTGATTTAAGGCTTTTGATGATTCGACCTAGTTGGTTTTCAACTTCCGCTTTATATTGTTGGAATTTAGTTATGGCCTCACTTTTGTTTCTCATAAGATAGGTGTGACCAAAATGGGAATGGTCATCAATGAATGTTATGAAGTACCTCATGTGCCCCATGGTAGGTACACTCATAGTTCTACACACATCCGAGTGGATTAGTTTTAAAAGACTAGAGATTCTTTCGACCTTTTTGTGGGACTTCTTTACCCCTTTCCTTTAAGGCAAGCCTCACATCTATTATGAGAATCAATATTCATTTTATCAAGTAATCTTTCTTTCATCATAATATGCATTCTAGATGGATCAATGTGACATAACTTTAAATGTCATAAAGTAAAATTTTGTAAATCATCACTCAAGTAAGCAAACTCCCTTTTCATTTTAATTTCATAAAGCCCTTGAACCAAGTGGACAACAAAAATAGGGTCTCCATTAATAGATCCATCATGCGCATAGACTTTTTCCACATTGAATAAGAGCACAAACCCGGCTTTACTCATCTTGGATACCGAGATGAGATTCTTCCTCATCCCGAGTGCATAGAGGGTGTCCTTAAGCATGAGAGTCTCACTATTAGTGAGCTCCAACACATAGTACCCTTTTTCTAAGACCATTTCCATTTGATTTCCACCCCATATAAAGATTATCGGTACCGGGTTTGACATCATAAAATATTCTAAAGCCCTTCATAGAATTTGTCACATGGATAATAGCCCCTGAGTCAAGAACTCACACATCTGCCTCCTCATTGACAATCAAAGTCTCATGGACTACACAAACTCTCTCTTTCCTTGGTCCTCCACCGGTATTAGCTTGAGGCTTACCGGTATTAGGCTTAGGAGAAAAATGAGGATTTTGTAGAGGAGGAGGATACCTACAAAACTTTTAGGTATGCCTGTATTTCTCGCATCTAAAGCATTGTACCTTCGAATAATTTGGTTTGTGGGCCAAACCGACCTCCCACCTACCATCATGGGTGTGGATGGTGGTTTAGGCCTAAAAGGCATGGGGCTAGCATGGTTTGGTAGGTAGGTATGGGTTTTAGGAGGGTAAGGGCTAAATGGATAAGGGCAGTAGGATTTTCCCTTTTTGCTTCCCCTTCCCCTTCCCTTTCTATTTGCCTTTTCTCTTTCTTTTCTTGTTCTTAGCATTATCACTCCTACTCACTCCCACATTACATGTATTCACTATAGAAGAGTTAGGAAGAGAAGAAGAGATAGGAGTAATGAGTAAGGGAGTAGAAGAAGAGGGTTGGTGAGATTTTACCATATGGACCATGGAAGATGGTCCATCCATTGTCATTCTTCTTTGCTCTTTCCCTTCCATGAAAAACGTAATCTCCTCCACTATTGTAGGCGCATCTTTGGCCATCAAATTGGCCACAAAGGTCTCCCATGAGGTTGAGATTGAAAGAACAAACATCGTCTTTTGTGTCACCTCATCATATGAGTGACCGGCTCTATCACTCTCTCTTATACAACTATTGAACTCTCTTAGATGATCACCCACTTTGGTGTGATCATCCATTTTGCAACACATGAGATTCCTCATTTTAATGATCATTTGAGCTTCATTCGGTGTGTCGTATTTCTTTTTCATTCTCTCTATAATATCTTTGACACATACAGAATTCTCATACTCCTTATCAAAGGAATCACTCATGATTGCAAAAATAATATTCATGACACTTTGGTTTTTGTTTATGCCATGTCTCATATGCATCCTTAACAACTTGAGGAGCATTGATTGTAGGCGGATTAGGTGGTATAGAAGTCAATAATGGCAATAGACCATCTTCATGTAACACATAACCAATTTTTCTTCTCCATTCAAATAAGTTGGTTCCATTGAACCTCTCCTCCTTAAACAATTCGGTGAGTATCAAATGGGCTGCCATGAGTTCCTATTTGGCACTCTAAAGTCCCTCTAAATACCCTAAAAGAGGATGTAAATGAGCCTAGCTCTGATACTAATTGATAGTGGATACAAAGACTAGAGTAAATTTTCAAGCCGAAAAACAAGGCAAAATGGACACCTTCAAAAGTGGGAAACAATTACCAATATTAAAATCACTTATTAAGATCTCAATACACTGGAATTATCATCCAAAATAGAATGCAAAAGGTTTGAATCGAATCGGATAAAAAACAAGAGAGTTATGACCAAACTACACACAGTGGTCGCTTGGACCACCAAAACAGTCTTGTATGGAAAGATTATGAACCCCCATAGGTAAAAAAGTGATAAATTTTTTTTGAAAATGGAGTAAAACTTTGAGACTAAATTATTTGATGAGTTTGAAGCAAAGTAATCAATGGCTACTATGCATGATCATGGATTCCCATGCATATAGGCTATAACTCATGAAGGACCATACTATGAACAAGCATGATGACAAAGATGATCAAATGGGGATTCTAAGATCAATGAAACTTTTCTAAATTAAAAACTCCAACAACTATAGATGTCAAGAATATGATCTTATGAGAAAAGAAAATTCAATTGAGTTTACCTGAATAAATGCACACTATGGACTTAAGCATAAGAAAGAAGGACCACCATCAAGATCACCATTAATGGAACTCTAAAAGCTCTTTCTTTTCAATTTTCTCTCAGAAAACGTTACTAGAAGGAGGGGAGCAACACTTTTCTAAAATAGTTCAAGAGTTGAGATAGTTAGGGTTTGAGATATCATGATGTGCTTTTATAACATGGGTGTAACATTGTACTCAATCAACACCCTTAATGCACTAATCCAAAGGCATATAAAAGGCTAATGTATCTAGCCACCCATCCTCATCCAACCATTAGGATTAAGGGATGGGATGTCACACCATTATCACTCACCCTAACCCTAAGTTATACCAATTTACCATTTTGTCATTGGCCCATATTTTTGTTCCAATTGTATCCTATGTGGCCTTACAAAATTACCCTTAGCATTTTTTAATAATGTATTAGAGTAGATAACTACAAAACCTAAAAGGAAAAGAAGTAAATGGCAAAAATCACACATGTGGAGATATTCTAATTTATCAAAGCCAATCACTTTGTATATCTAAAATTTAAAACCAATCAATTTAAAGATAATGTCCCCTTTACACATGTGTGTGAAGATATTTTTCAACTTAAATTTGAAAATACATTTTCTCTTTAATATCAAATAAATTAATTAATTAAATTTCACACAAGCCATACATGACCCATGTGTGAGTTAATTAAGACATGTGATAAAAAAAAGGCCTTAATTTGTAATATTATATAACAATATATAACAAGACACCATAACTCAACCCTTATTAAACAAGCAACCAAATGTCAATCTAGTCCCCCTCCTAGGGATCAGCGCCCAGTTGGGCAGTGATCCTAGAGTGAGGCGTGGGGTGCCACATGGCAGCCCTATGGCTACTCGAACGTCACCTGACACTATCAGGTCATGACTAAAGTGGAATTTGAGTCAAACAATATGAAAACCCTCATTTGTTTAGCAAATAAAATTCCAAACAATTCTCTAAATTCACAATAAATATTTAAAGTATTTTTGAGCAATTATTAGGTTTTTCTCATCATTATAAAATTTGACAAAATGTATAGTGAGATCTTAAGCTAATAACTATAAGTATCAGAGTACTTCATTGAGCTAGTCTCGAATGATGTTCCTCCGAGTCTCAGATCAACCCAATAGACCTATGTTCCATAGTCTAAAGCAGGGATACATAATTGGTCATATCAAAGCTGCTACGCCAGAACTTCTGATTATTCGTCTCTCCATAGATTACAGGTGTACCCCTGTGGGACATGATCTAACTTAATTACAGGGTTCCTCTCAAAACACATGTGCACTAGCTCTTCCAAACTTGGATAATGCATTTGGAAGAGTCACTTCCCATATGAAATGAAAATGCACATGCCATGCAATGGTCTCGTGTCAGGATACGGATTTATGTCCTATAAGTCTTGACCATTCCATACAGGATGAATACTCAATAAGTACTCAAGTTCTATTTTTCTCGTTTGGATTCTTCAAGCCCTAATCGATTGCAGCTAAACATGAGGCTAACCTATAAAATCCTGACTAAGAGGTGACCCTCACTCCTCCTTGAGAAATTGCTTTCTCAACATGTGAACTCTCAATGCATCATGCATACTCGGGGTAAAAGAATATGGGCTCTATTTCATAAGATGCCAAGATTTCAATCTCTCAATCACTCCCACTGAATGAGAGACTACTGGAATTTAGGCATTGGTATGCCATATTTCCAACATTTGATTAGCTTCAAGGGGCCCAAGTATTCTCTAAGATTGATATTTGGTCGGGCTATTACCAATTGCGGGTCAAGGACGGGGATGTTCTCAAGACCACATTCAGAACCCGATATGGCCACTATGATTTTTTGGTAATGCCGTTTGGGTTGACCAATGCCCCAGCTGTTTTCATGGACATGATGAATAGAATTTTCAGACCTTTTCTGGATACTTTTGTTGAGGTCTTCATAGATGATATTCTGGTGTATTCCAAGAACCTAGAAGAGCATGAACAACATCTAAGAGTGGTGCTCCAGACTTTGAAGTCAGAAAAGTTGTATACTAAGTTGAGCAAGAGTGAGTTTTGGCTTCATAGAATGGCCTTTATTGGGCACGTTGTTTCTAAGGATAGAGACGTGGTTGACCCTTGTAAGATTGAAGTCGTGCTTAAGTGGGGAAGACCGACAAGCGTGACAGAGGTCCGCAATTTTCTGGGATTAGCAGGTTACTATAGAAACTTTGTAGAAGGATTTTCAAAAATATCACTTCCCCTTACTCGCCTAACCCAGAAGGAAGTAAAATTTGTGTGGTCAGATGATTGTGAGAAAAGTTTTCAAGAACCAAAGAAGAGATGGACTACGGCTCCGATACTGACCTTACCCGAAGGAAATGAGGACTTTGTGGTTTACACCGATGCCTCTCACAAAGGGCTTAGATGTGTGCTTATGCAGTGAGGGAAGGTCATTGCTTATGCCTCCAGACAGTTAAAGCGTATGACCAAAATTACCCAACTCATGACTTGGAGCTTGCGGTTGTAGTATTCGCCTTGAAAATATGAAGACACTACCTTTATGGCGCCCAGTTTAAGATATTTACAGACTATAAGAGCCTCAAAAAGCTATTTTCCTAGAAGGAGTTTAATGTGAGGCAAAGGAGATGGATTGATCTATTGAATGATTATGATTATACCATCAATTATGACCCTGGGCAAGACTAATGTGGTAGTAGATGCCTTAAGTAGAAAGCCCATAGTATCAATGGCACATCTAATGGTTCGAGAGATGAGATTGTTAGAAGATGCCATGGAATGGCACCCGGCTCTGCCCCTTGGTAACGGGGTAAGTATGACTGCTTGTATAAGGGTGGAACCCCAGCTCTTTCAACAGATCCAGATGGTACAAAAGAAGGATCCTCAGCTCATGAAAATTTTGGAAGAAATAAAACTAGGAAGGAAAGATGATTTCTTTGTAAGTGGTGATGACTTGTTAAGATTCAGGGATCGGGTCTATGTTCCGAAGGATGAGGGTGTGAAGAGAGCTATTTTAAAAGAAGCCCACTACTCCCATTATGCTATACGCCCCGAGAATACTAAGATGTATCAGGACCTGAAGGAAAATTTTCTGCTGGAATGACCTGAAAAGGGAAGCAACATTGTTTGTTTCTAAGTGCTTGACATGCCAGCAGGTGAATGATGAGCATCAGAAGCCTGCTGGATTGTTGCAGCCCTTGCCCGTACCAGAATGGAAATGGGAACACATCACTATGGACTTTGTCTCTGGTTTACCTAGAACGGGTACTTGACGACGATAATATTTGGGTCGTTGTGGACTGGCTGAACAAAGCTGTCCATTTCTTACCTGTCCGCGCAACCTATACTTTGAATAAATTGGCCCAATTATACATCAGAGAGATAATGACGATTCGTGGAACACTTGTTAGCATCGTGTCCGACAGGGACACTAGATTTACCTTGAGATTTTGGGCTAGTATGCAATCAGCCTTAGGGACAAAACTTACTTTCAGCACTGCTTTTCACCCCTAGACTGATGAACAATCGAAAAGAACCAGTTAGACCTTGGAGGATATGTTAAGGGCTTGCATTACAGACTTTAAGGGAAGCTGGGATGATCATTTACCTCTAATAGAATTTGCTTATAACAACAGCTTCCAAGCCAGTATTCAGATGGCACATTTTGAGGCCCTGTATGGGAGGAAGTGCAGGTCACCTATCTGTTGGGATGAGGTTGGTAAAAGGAGGCTTTTAGGGCCAAATATTGTTCAAGCGACCTCAAAAAAAGTTGCTTTGATTCAAGAGATGCTCATGACAACTCAGAGTTGGCAACATAGTAACGCCGATAACCGAAGAAGAAACCTCGAGTTTGAGGTAGGCGATCGAGTATTTCTGAAGGTATCGCTAACTAAGGGTGTTATGAGGTTCGGTAAGAAAGGAAAATTGAGCCCACGATGTATTGGACCTTTTAAAATTCTAGAAAAAGTTGGAAGTGTAGTATATCGACTTGCCCTACCACCCGAGTTGGATAACATCCACGATGTCTTTCATGTATCTCTGTTAAGGAAGTACCAGCCTGACCTGTCCCATATTCTGAGAGATGAACTAGTTCCGATCAGAGAATACTTCACCCACATCGAGCAACCTATTGAGATACTGAATCGAAGAGTGCAAGTATTGCGCAATAAAGAAATTCCTGTTGTCCGTGTTTGTGGCAATACCATTCACAAGAACAATCGACTTAGGAAATTTGAGATAAGTACCCCCATTTATTCGATTAAGATAAATATGATTTTGAGGAAAAAATCCTTTTTATGGGAGGATGATGTAAGGATTGAGATTTTTTTTGGCCCGAGGAAGTGTGTGGCAGTAAGAACACAACCGTGCGCAACAGTGAGAGACAAAAGAAGAAGAGAGCGTGCGGTAGAGAGTGCCGCCATGTACGACAGTGAGAGATAGAAGAAGTAGAGAGCACGCGACAGAGAGTGTTGCTGTGTGCGACAGTGAGAGACAGAAGAAGAAGAGAGCGTGTGACAAAGAGTGCCGCCGTGCGTGGCAATGTGAGACAGAAGAAGAAGAGAGTGCCGTTGTGCATGCCAGAACAGAGAGGTTACCACCGTACGTGTTTCTGTTGTGGCGCATGTAAGTCACTTGTATATCCTTATCTGCCACTTGGATCTCACATGGATGCCACTTGTAGCTCCTTGGTTGCTACCTGCCAGCTGCCTCTCCCTCTTGGTTTATAAATATTATCCCTCTCACCCTTTAAAGGACTCTTGCTCTCACACTCTTGAACCCCTTTTTCAAACACTTAGAATCTCAACCTCTTGGGGCCATTTTGGGAGCTTGAAAACTTGACCTGAATGAGGCAAATTGAAGTAATTTTGGGTGCATGTAAATAGATCTAACATTCATGTGTCTATATTTTTTGTTATAAGCATGATTTTTTAATAAGGATGTGGCTTCATATTATGAAATTATGTTAGAAGATGCATGTTTTTCTAGGACTATAATTCTTCTGGGCATGATAAATTGAGCATTGAAATCATTTCTGTTGACTATGAAAATTGTGAAAAATTACCCATGTGCCTCTATTTTAAGATGGAAGAGATATTATGTCCATGTCCATCCTGGTTTGGAAGTTATGGGTTATTTTCTAAAGTATGTCAAAACTGTAAACTACATATCTAATATGTTTTAAACTAGAACTGTTTACTGAACCAATGATGTCCAAAATATATCAAACCACTCTTAAAAGAAATATGAGTATGTCTACTTCAAATGTGGTTTTGGAACCATGTTGAAAGTATTTATGGTTTAGGAATTATGCCTTTGTTTGTATGAAGATGTCACTATTGTACGTTGCAGTAAAATTTAAGAACTGTTGTATGATTTGTACTGAAATTTTTATAAGCTAAATGGTGTTAAAATGATTTCAAACTACTTTTAAATGAAATATGAGTACATCTACTTCAAATTTAGCTTTGGAACCATGTTGAAATTCTTTATGGTTTGGAAATTATGCCTTTGTTTGTATGAAGATATCACTGTTGTGAGTTGCAGTGAATTTTCAGAACTGATGTATATCTTGTACTGAACTATTTACTAGACAAATGGTCTCTAAATAATCTCAAACTACTTTTAACGGAAATATGGTTAAGTCTAATTCAAAATTTATTATGAAACCATATTGAAATTATTTATGGTTTGGGAATTATGCCTTTGTTTGTATGTAGATGTCACTGTTGCGAGTTGCAGTGAATTTCCAAAATTGTTGTATAACTTGTACTAAACTGTTTACCCGCCAAATAGTATCCAAATAATCGTAAAGAACTTTTAAATGAAATATGGGTATGCCTACTTCAAATTTGGTATTGGAACCATGTTGAAATTCTTTATGGTTTGGGAATTATGTCTCTGTTTGTATGAAGATATCAATGTTGTGAGTTACAGTGAATTTTCAGAACTATTGTGTATTTTATACTGAAGTGTTTACTAGCCAAATGGTGTCTAAATGATTTCAAACTACTTTTAAATGAAAGATAGCTATATCTACGTCAAATTTGGTTTTGGAACCATATTAAAATTCTTTATGGTTTGAGAATTATGCCTCTGTCTGTATTAAGATGTCACTGTTGTGAGTTGTGGTGAATTTCGAGAACTATTGCATGTTTTGTACTGAACTGTTTACTGGCTATATGAACTCAAAATGATCTCAAACCACTTCTAAATGAAAGGAGGATGAGTACATTTTCAAATTGGTTTTAGGATTATGACTAAATTCTTTATGGACTGGAAGTTAGACTAAATCTTCTAAGAGGATATCATACGGTAAAATTTCTGTTATGTTATGAGTTATTGAGCATGCATGGCTGTAATGAAATATGCTTATGATATAACGAATGCTTATGAACTCTTGAATAATTATAATGAGACATGCTTAAGCATGGGTGAATGTTTATGGGATATGAATGTGCATGCTTGTAACAAGACCTGCCTATGATAAGAATGCAATACGAAACACTATGCTATGGGACACTTATCGGTAGTGGGATCTGATTTGATAAGAATGTGATACAAAACACTAAGCAATGAGACATCCATTGGTGGTGGGATATAACATGATAAGTACATGAAATGGAGTATTACGCAATGGGACATCCATTGGTAGTGTAGTATGAGATACTGAGACTATTATATGGGGTACTACGCAACGGGTCATCCGTTGGTAGTGTAATATGTTGTGATATAATAAGAATGTTATGTCGACAATTAAGATCTTTCCCCGACTCCCGATGATAGGAAGGGAGTTAGAATGTGAATATGAATGTTTGAGAGGGTCGTGCCCTCCAAATCTTTAAGAGCTCTACGCATTCGGTTACCCATTGATAGTGTAACGCTCTCTCGCCAGAAGGGCATAAGGAAATGGTCGTTTCTTGTAAGGCCACAATCTTTCAAAAGCCCCAAAGAGCGCTGGGGATTGTGTGTGTGTGTGAAGACATTACAAAATGGGTCATCTAATTGTCATTGTCCTCCCTCTTGAGTCAGGGTAGAAGTCACAAGTAATAGGATTGGCTGGACCTGATTAATAAGGCTTCTACTTCGGGAGTAAGCGCCACTAGGATTGTCTGTATGCACTATGTGTTTTGCTTGAATTACTAATCTGTTATTTTGATGAAAATATGTGATAAACTGTTAGCTCATGTATTGTATGATATTTTGACATCTGATTTACACTTCTTCTACCATTGCTAAAGAATTGTGCTACATGACTCCATGTTATGCCACCTGCATGAATCTTGGGGGATGGTTATAAATAGCATTGTATAGGCAACAATACATGATGTTTGATCTGTTTACTAGGCTTTATAGCTCATCCCTTTGACTTTCTTTATGTAGAATGATAGCTTGCGGTTTTTTAAAACGGGGGCTGGGCACTCGTGGCTGGCGGTTGAAGATCCGAGCTTGGCGAGAAAAGCTTTATTCAGTTAGGAGGTGTTTGATGGTGGTGGCCATATAGTTGTTTTGTTGAAAGTTTGTATTTTGTTCTTGGGCCTGTAGTGCCTTGGACATGATTGTAAGAAAGCTTTTTGGAGCCTGTATATATAAATTGGTTTTATTTTGTCCAGTTCTTTGTACCCTTGTGCTTGGGTTTTGTTTTCTTTTGTAGTTTGCTTTAATTCCGTCTTTTTAAAAGTGTCGAGCGCACTCACATCTGAGTAGCATTTGCTACCTCTGGTCGTGGTCTCGCACTCTGTTGCCCTTCGGCAAGTACGGTAGATGTCAAGAGGTGGGGTTGTGACACATTTTTTTTTAGGCAAGTCAGTGGGGAGAAGTCCTCCTACCCGTTTTTTTATTAATATTTTAAAATAAAAAAAGTTACAGGGGCACTTGTGATAAATCAAGAAGAAAAGTAAGGCAAATGAAGTCCTGAAGATGAGAACGCCAAATAGTTGCTTGTAAACGAGATGTGGCCCTCTTTGCAAGAATATCAACCATCATGTTGGCATCATGAAAAATGTGAGTGATGGACAACACATGATTAGAAAGACGTTGTCTACAATTTACTACACCATGCCATTGGGATGACAACTTGGTCCTTCTGTTGATGCCAAGTGAACTGTAGATCCTCAATTATCGCTTTTTTTGGCACATGGACTGCCCAAGATTTAGCATCAGCTAACTCCGGGGCATGAGATATGATATGTGTAAGCAATTGTTCTGTCCTGGTTAAACTTGATCGAAAAACTCTTTGATTATGCTCTATCCATAAAAATCATATAGTTGTAAAGAATAAAGAAAACCAAATATTAAAAAAACCATTGGATTTGAACCTAAAAGATAGCCAACTTCTCAACATACTAGGAATAGAAGAGCCATAAATAAATCGCTTGTCGCATCGCCATGCAAGAGATATCCATACAGTCTGTGAGAAATGGCAGAATAACAATAGATGACAGATACTATCATCACAGTTTTTACAAAACGGACATATAGGTGGAACCATAGCTATCCCACACTGTTGTAGGAGGGAGAAAGTTGATAATCGATTGTGAATAGCCAATCAAGAAAACCATTTCGCTCAAGGATGACATTTTGATGACCACAAGGTTCTAAAAATCGGCAGAGAAATATCCTTGTCATGAATAAACTCCCAAGCCTCTTTAGTCGAAAAAAACTTACTCTTCAGTCAAAAAAAAACTTACTTGCAGAATGAATCTATACCGGAAAATCTCTATGTGAATGTAATGGGAGAGTAAAGCTCTAAATCTTCTGCCATATCTGAATCAAAGGTACTAATGTAGGCGAGGGTAAGACCAAGACTGATGAGCACCACCAATATAATCAGAAACCTTTGGCATAACAACCTCAAGGTCTTGATGTATAGTCATATCATAAGAGTCCCATATTGACTTTTCTGATAGCCAAGGATCAGCTCAGAAATCCACAAGCCAACAATCTCCAATAACCAATCGCTAATTTTTTACCCTAATTTTTTACATGTTTAACTCGTCTAACCTTGCGAGAGATATTGTTACTCTCTTTTCTATTTTACATGTTAATACTTTTGTTTTCTCTATTAAATAAAAAAGGGTCAAAACTATTATACACTTTCTTTATTTTCACTATAAATATGAGAAAGAAAGATCCATTCTTTTATAATGATTTATACTTTAAATTTCATTTGACTATAAAATAAATATAATAGATAACAATTACACATAAATGAGATATGTTCTCATTATTTATATATTTTTTGATAAAATAATAAAAAACTATAATGTAAATACCACTATTTTTTTTGAAAGCTTAAAAAAATAATTTAAATTTTTTTTGATAGTTGTTCTTTTTTTTCCCGGTGGATCTTATCAATCCTATAACTCTCCATTCGATATCGCCAATCTGCAGATCCAACCGATTTGATTTTTGAGATGGACGATCCCGATCACCGACCGTTTTTTCAAACCTTGTCTCGTTTTGCTGGTCACTGCGAGAGAAGATGCGGGCCATTTGTCCGATCCTCATTCTACTGAGGATAAGGAGGGGTGGCCTTTCTCTGATATAGCACGCCTGTGTAGCAGTGGAGAGAGAGAGAGAGGGGCATTCGGTTCGTCTCATTTCTTCATGGCTTCAATCTTCACATCCACATCCTCTTCTTGGGGGTTGGCTTCTTCATTCTCAAGAAGACCCACATCCCTCCTTCCTCAAAAACATCGTCAAATCCACGTTCTCAATTCAAACCCAATCTCACTTTCTCTCTCTTCGCGTGTTTCTCTCTCTAGGCCTCCCCTTCTATCGAGAAGGCCTGCATCTGTCACCGTTGCTCCTCCTCCTGAGACAGAGGAGCTCACCGAGACTGAAGAAGAATCAGCCCAAGCTATCCAACCAGAAGCAGTAGCTCAAGTCCCAATAGGAGAAGACGTTTACGCTGTGGTTATGGTGAGTAGCTTTTTTCCACCACCATGCTCTCTCTTTCTCTCTCTCTTCTTTTGATATTTGGTTGTGATGCAGGTTGGGTCGCGGCAATACATTGTTTTCCCTGGACGGTTCATATATACTCAGAGACTCAAAGATGCCAATGTGAATGATAAGGTACGTAGTTGGATAATGGGTTCCATTTTCCATTCGTTCTGGTTTGTTTCAAGCTGTTGAGAAGTGTGGGGGGACCATGAAATGTGATGCTTATGTAACTGTGACCCATTTTACGTAGTCTGATTAGCATAAATTGCCGCAGAACATTAGCAATTTAAAATGTGGTTTGTTTTCTAGGTGTTGATTAGTGAATTGGACCTTGAGGCCGTTTGTATGGGGCATACCAGTTCTTCACAATGTTAGAGTATATTTTGTCCAAATTTTAAAAGGTACTTTGTCAAACAAGAAGAGTTTTTTTTCTGGTCAAAGCATGAGTTTTCCCTCAAAACATGAGAGCTACATGAGCTCTCTGTCTCTCTGTTTCAAGGGAAGCAGTTCACTCGAAATAAAATGGCAGGGAGGGTGTAGAGCAAGAAAGAGAGACAACAGCGAAAAATATGATGGCTAAAATTCCAGGGAATCTTTTGGTTAGGTATGGGTTGTCATTTGGATGTTGGGGTGTTTAATCCATTATGTGGGAGTTGGTTTCAATTCATAAGTCCAGCAAATTTTTCTGTCGATATGAAAACAAGGCCTGGATTGATTACTATACGTCTTTTTATCTAATTATTGTACATTTGGTTTGTGGGGTAGGTTGGTTTTCTTCTTGATTTTGCGATGAAGGTCAGAATGGCACTTGATGATGCCAACCAGGGTAGCCTTGTTGCTTGCTTCTCTTTACTGGGTTTCAAAATGGATGCACAGTAATGCAAAGTTTCTGTTTTATCCATAATGAATTTGTGACGAAGTGACTATAGTTGAGAAGTAATAGAAATTTAGAATTTCCCAAAAGAGAGAGAAAAAAGAGGGAAAAGGCCATCACTGGTCAACAGGGCAAGTGGAGAATGTTCTTAATTTACATGAGTAATAGAGATGGAGAAAGAGTTGTAACTCTTAGCTAGTCAATAGAGAAGGGGCATTCTTAGCTAATAAGAGAATGACCTTAAGTGACAATTGCTTTCTTGGTATGAGAAGCCTGTGGGATTTGAAGTGCTTTTCCACAAATTTAGGCGAGGGAGGAATATTTAATTGGGAAATTCTCATACAATGTTTCTGAGCTCAGATTAGCTTTAACTAGCATAGAATAGCCCCGCACAATGAGAGAAAGGGTATCCAAATAGATCAGGTTACAAAATAAAGCTTGAGGACAGATATTTATAATAAAAAAGGAGAAAAAATAGTCCCATATTAATGCTAGAAAAAGAGTACAAGATTGGAAATGATTATAAAGTTGAGCTAGGAGATCACTTATTGGGTTGGGGTTCGGTTTATTCAGTCCTGTTGATTTGAGCTTACTCTGTGCAAAAAACCAAAAATATATTCAGACATTTTTGTGATTTGATTCTTTCTCATTGAGTATAAATGGCCCAAGTGAGTTCGAGTGGACTTCATAAATGATTCAATTATGTCGAGGAATGTAGATTTCATCTTTTATTGCAAATCAAAAGTTGTAATTTATGAATGTATCAAGTAGGATATTCAATTGCCATTTCTTTTTCCAGCCTGGAGCATCTTCTTTTGCAGCCTATGTAGTACATGAAAGTATGAGAGTATACCCAGTGAATAAATGAGTTATCTAACCATGCTGGTTTGATAGAACTAGTTCTATTTTGCCTCTCAATGAGGTGTATGACGTACATGAGTAGACCTTCAGACATTTTGACTTGCTGCAGTAGCCCCGGTAGTATCTTCTAGTCTCTCCAATCTGTCACCCCAATTGTAATGTTGCCCTTCTTGTGTATGTGTGGAAGCAGCCTGATACCTTTGTTTCATCTTCGATAAACAATCGGATCCTAAGGAGCAACATCAGGCTGTTGCTCAGATGGAGGTTCCTCATCATAAAGATATTCAATATCTTCGTCGGGGTGATGAGGAACATCTTCATCAACAATGCTTGACTAACGAGTGTAACTAGTGGTGCATCCAAGTAGTACAACTTCTTCATTTTGCGTTATGCAATCCTGCTGATTATCTCGAACTATGCCCTTCTTGTCTCATTTTCATCTTGCTGTAAAATGGTTCTAGGTGGATTACACATCATCATTCCATCAAATGTGACATTTCTTGAGTTCAGAATGCATTTGAGTCTAGGGCTGTAACAGTGATAGCCTTTATAAACATTGCACTTCGGCTTTAGGAGAAAGTTTCTTCCTTTGACTCTAATCTATATGAACATAAACGTGGTGTCCAAAAGATCGACGAAATGAATGATCTGCATTCTTACCATAAAACATATCATAAGGAGTTCAGCCATTGAAAGCATTAGTGGGCAATTGATTTATGACATAAACAGCCGTGTGAAAGGTGTCAATCTATAGGTATTTTGGGACCCCGCTCGTGAGCATCAAGGAAAACGCAATCTCGCCAATATGGTGGTGCTTTCTTTCCGCTATTCAATTTTGTTGTGGAGTATGTGGGCACAAAATTTGTTGCTCTATCCCGAGAACTCACTTCCTCCATTACTACGAAAGAACAAATTTGGTTTACGAAAATGGTTCTTGTTAAGATTGGGTGAGGAGAGAGAGAGAGAGAGAGAGAGAGAGAGAGAGAGAGAGAGAGAGAGAGAGAGAGAGAGAGAGAGAGAGAGAGAGAGAGAAGAACGTAACGTAACGTAACGTAACTAACGTAACTAACTAACTAACTAATAACTAACTAACTACGTACGTACGTACGTACGTACGTACGTAC